TTTCACTGCTTCATCATGTGCTTCAAAACTACAAAGACCCGCCCTGCTGAGGCCGGCCCGCCCCTGGCACTCAAACGCACCCAAACGAGACGTACGGCGCAGAAAATGCGCATTTTCATCCGCATAAAGGAAGCGTTCACAACCGGTTAGGCAACAACAAAAAGAGGAAGAAGAGGAAGAGGAAGAGGGCACCATGCAAGCTGTTTATCAAAACCAAACAATTCTAAAACAATTTAGTTAAAAATAAAAGAAATAAAAGAATCTTATTAAATATATATCTGTATATCCTAAAACGTGAACCCCAGATGTCTCCATTTAAATTATGACAAGTCAAAAAGTTCAATTAATTAATCAATTGTTTCATATCTTTCAAGATTTAACTCTCTGAACAAAACAACTTAACTCACTGCAGCTGAACTTACTTTTGTCCATCAACAAACAATGAGGGTGTTTTTTTTTGGGGGGACATTTATATTTGTTGGAGCTTCATAAACCCTCAGAAGCAACTAAAAGCTGCAGATATAGTCTGTTTGAGGACACAGCCTGGTGTTACTGCACTGTTAATGCACAAGCATCCAGTTTGTCTCTTTACAATCCACTGTCAATGGTCCAGTCTCAAGTGTCTTCTATTATTTTGCCACAAGAGGGCAGACACGGACCTTGTTCGTGTATATCTGATTGTTTCTGGTGACATTCGTGCAAGATAACATTTCTATATTTTAGATAGATATTGTTTCTAGACATAGTAGCCTGATCCGCAGCTTAACTTGGTCATATTTAATGTTAATACAAGCAGACTGAAAGAGGATTTTCATAGTGAGACCCTTAACAGCAGTGTTTTTTTTTTATTATAGGCTGCTATAATGAGAGTTGTGCCTATTTTATTTTTTAAATAGTTATCCGTTGCTCTTTGGTTCTCTTATTTATTACTATTTAAAAAAGTTAGTAAATTAAACCCTTCTTTTAATCAGACGTTTTGGGCTCTTTATTCTTATTATTTATTCTTTATTTTCAGATCCAGCTGATTTAACCTAAAATAAAACTAAAATGTTGGTGTTTTCTTTTGTTTGATGCAGTTTAAATGCTGTTGCTGATCAGCAGAATTGAAGGTTACATTGACACCGCGAACATCACTATATCCACAATAATTGCTTCAAAAAAAAAAAACCTGTAACCTGCAACAATAAATGACGCTCATGAATACATTCCCCCCTTTTCAATAAACTTTATTGGCAAAAAACGGTGGCTTTTTCGTGCTTTAGAACAACGTTTTGAGTCGGACAGATGTGAATTTATTGGGCCCCGTCACTCACTCCCTGACTCGCCCATTAGTTAAGTGACAGGACAGGGGCCCGGGGAAACCTGCACCCAATACGTGTGATTACGTTAAAAGATCGCACAATCTGTTCATATTTACGTAATGAGAATGACATTTTTGCTGATTGATTAAACTACAGAGTGTAAATATTTTAAAGGGAGTCTCTGATTTACAGTCCAACAAAGCAAAAAAAAAGAGGCCGATTTATTTGTCTAACTATGAAAATGAGAGTTTCTGGTAACCGCTCTGTGTTTTAGGGGCCGAGCTGACATCTCAAGTGGGGGTGACTTGAGTGATTCAATAGACAGTGAAACATCTTTATAGAAAGACACAGGCTCACTATGCATTATTAGGTTTAAAAAAGACAGAGGTAGGGGAGGCCGTCAGCACTTTTCTCCCACTGGCTGTTGAGAAAAACTGACAGCATTATCAGCAGTAACTGTAATTTACGCAGGGAAATTTTAATCAACATGACTGGTGTATTCAGATTAAATTAGAGGGGAAACGGAATCAATGACCTCCATATATTGCTCCACTGCCTTATCAATTAGCTGTGATTTTTGTACTGTGTCAGTGGGGCCTGTGTCATAAAACAGCCCAAATGGCATTTGTCATCCAGCTGACAAGTCACACAACTAAATGAGCTCCTATTGATTCACATGATTTTTCATCAGCCAAATTAAAAGCTGCAGTTTGATAGAGGTTCAGTCTGCATGGTTGTTAAGTATTCTATTCTCCCCTATTAAATCAAGCCTAAAAAGTTCAGTGAAAACTCCTTTCAAGGTCTTTATGTTTAAAGTGTACCTGGAAGCGTTGATCTGGTGAACTGAACTGGTGATTTTGTTGCATGGGTTTGCAGCTTCATATTAATTATCAACTATATCAATAGGCTTTACCCAGGTTGGTTAAAGTTGTGCTGTCACATAAACAACTGCATGTTTAGCTGTTAAACTGCAAACAAAGTTACTCAGCATTTATTATTGTGTGGATCTTAATTTTTCCATCACTCTGTTGCTCTACTTGAGGTTTCTTCATTTTTTAAAAACCTGTAATAGAGGGTAAATGGGAATTTCTGTTGTTTTGCCACTGAAATATATATATATATCATTTATTGCTTCATTTTGATAGATTACAACCCCCATAGTGAATAAACAGGGTCACACATTTTGACAATTGTTGACCAAATCCTGTGTGTAATAACACAAACTGTAGTGGTGAGGTGTGTCTGCAGATCTCACCTGACATTATTTGGTCAACACTGTCATCTATTTCATGTTATTGATCCTAGATTGTCACAGTCTGACTAGTCACAAATTTTAATAGTCAACACCAACATCACAGTTTTTAAAATTATGTAAATATTATAAATAAATGTTGAGGATGTTTGGCAACAAAATATGATAAAGTATGACAAAAAAAACATTTGCAGTGGCAGTGTAGCTGAAATATATTCAGGTCACAGAGTAGACACATAATAGTATAAAACTGACTTGACTTAAAGAAGTTTATAACATTATAGCATTAAACTGAACTGAGTTAATTTGTATTTATGTCTTTTTATATAAATGTCATTGCATGTTAAATTCAAATGATAGCACATCATTGTATTTGCCCAAACATTCAGAGAGCAAAGCAATCAAACTACTTTTATTGCAGTTTTTTAAACAGTATATTGACTTAATAATGTGGGTTTGGGGGCCATTCATCTGTAATTAATGTCAGCACCGTACATAACCCAATAAAGAAACCTAAATCATAATAAGCGAGTGATATGTGATTCAAATAAATATTGAACCATTAGGCTTTTCTTCTGTTGTAGAGACTTGATGACATGGTGATTAATTGTAGAGATGATTGCTGATATCTTTGTTTTTGAGCAGAATACACTATTCAGTTTATCTATGATCACAACAAAGTCTCCACTAAAACTCCACTAAGACATTTTATGGCCTTTTTATGCCTTTATTTTGATAGGACAGGTGAAGATAGACAGGAAAGGGGGGATGACATGCAGCAAAGGGTCGAAGGTTGTAATTGAATCTGGGCCGCTGTGGCTAGGACTCATCCTACGTGGGGCGCATGCTCCACCAGCTGAGCTACAAGGTGGACGATGTCTGCCCAGCCAGTTAAGAATACATTTAATCACTATATAAACGTGGGACTGTGGTCTAAGAAGGGGCTAAGTGACACCATACTGTGTGTCCTCCAATCTGCTCTTTAATCACAACCCTTACATGGCTCCCAATAAAAGCGCCCCGCTGCAGTTATACACACTCATCATGCTGTTGCTCTTGGAAATTAAAATGGGCCTGTGTGACATCACCATCAGGCTTTTGATTGCTTTACTTTCTCTTCATTAACTTAATTATTTGGCTATCAGTAAACCCCACCGAGTAATTAATATCTGAGAGGCTTTGTAATAAATTAAAACTGTGAACTGAAGATAACTTTTGCTTCGCTTTGCTTGCAGACACAGCGCAGTGACTGTGGGTGAACAGGAAGGAGTTGAGGGAGATGCGAACACAAAATGTTTTATTTCTCCATTGTGTTGGACTGTTAATGAAAACATGAGACATTTTCCCATGAGGGAAGTTTACATGGACCTTTGTGGGATTTCTTTATTTCGATCACAACTCTGTCTTAAAGTGATTTTTGATGCAAATGTCAGTCAGAACACCAGTTTTATTCAAACATTAATGTTCCACAGCAGATGAATCCTACTGACTTTGGTGATCCTCTGAGTTTCCCACTAGTGACACCAGTACGTTGACATTTGTGGTTCTGAGTGATATTTCTCTATAGGCCTAACTCTTAGATGGACTGCTATGAAATTAAGAGCACACAGTCATGTTCCCCCTCGGGATGAATTGTAATCTTGTCGGTGATCCCCTGACTTTGATTTTAGCTCCATCAGACAAGAATATCCTCTTTTTTTGTTTATTACCAAATTCTTGCAAAAAATAAAATAAAAAATGACATTCCTGTCAGGCACAGTTGTACTTTGTATTTAGTGCTAATTAGCAAATATTAGCACGCTAACACGCTAAACTAAGATGATGACCATGGTAAATATTTACCTGGCAGACGTCAGCATGTTAGCATTTAGCTCAAAGCTCTGATGTGTTTATACTGAAGATCCTTTCCAGACATGTATTATGACATATATAAATAGTTTGTTTGGAACAATAATGTGTGACTGATATATTTTCCTGCAAAATATATATAATATGCAAATGTTGATCATTTTAAAAGTTTTCCTGCTGGACACAAGATGTCTCCTACTTCGCTGTAAAGTCCATTCTCAGTGTATGTGCACTGGAGGCTTCAAGATTCTACATCACACTTGTAAAAGTTGGACCAGGATTGACTTCCAAACTATTTGACACACTCGTAAAAATCTGATTTTCAATGAGCACTGAGAAACATTCAGCAGATAAATGTGAAAACATCCTTCTAGTGTCAAACCTCTGCACATACGATGCGCAGTGAAGCTCAAAACAAATCCAACTGCAGAGAACAAGGAAGAAAAATATATTTTGAGTTGGAGAGGATTTTAAGTCTTTGTTTTAAGTCTGTTGTTTTTCCCACTTCATTCCTTTACCACACGGACAACCCTCATCAACACTTTTCAAGCACAAAAAAGGGGTCAGACTTTGGGACATTGATCTAATATCTAATTTCTGGCTGCCCTTTGTTATCACTATTTTATTGTTGTTATTTATTAACATTTGATGGGACAAACTAATCAGGAATATTAATCAAATATTAAATTACTTCAGCTCATTTTTCATTTATTTTTTGCTGTCATTTTTTAATTTCACAGTTACACCACAAACAAGTTTCAGATAAATGCATGTATGATTCATCTTTGCAATCATTCAAATAAATTAAGTTCATTTACATGTAAGTGACAAGAACAAATTCAGAAACACCATCAAGAACAAAAGAAACATCCTTATACACATAAAATGCACAAAAGTCAATGTAATGCATGGGATATTCAGGATTCAGTCTCAACAGCACACAGCTTGTTTTACTTTGACTTTTTTTTTGTCTTCATGATGCAGTGGATGCTGCACCTACTGTACATTCTCACGCTGTCTGAACGCACCACAGTTCACTTGTCGTACTTCACATCCTTCATTCTTGTAGTCGTGTGTGTGTGTTCACTGGGTGGAGCCGCTGCTGTCAGTGGATGAAGCAAAGACAAGGTGACCAGAAGGTGATGACCCATGAAAACAGCTAAATTTAGTGCGGAAATTAGCACCTTTTTTCAGCATGCTACGAAATGTACAGTACTTAGGGATGATTTTATTCACAGATAGTTTATACAGTATATTTGTGTTATAAACCTATGTGTATCTGTGTGAATAATTAGTGACTCCAACAAATGTCCTGAATGGAACACATAATACTTCACATAACAGACCAGACAAAGTTCTTTAGGTCTGGAAATGTCTTCTCTAGTCACCACAAACACAGACATGTCCCAGTGTAACGTCTCTGGGTGTCTTTTCACAGTCCCGCTCCGATCTTCCTGTCACCTCCTCCTACTTGCACTCCCTCCAGCTCATCATCAGAGAAAGGGCTGTGGGGACTGTAGCCAACATCAGTGCTGCGCTGCAAGAAGTCCGTGGATCGTGGCATCCCTATGCCATTACCCATAGCAACAGGAAAACCATGCTGGGCTTCCTCCTCTTCTTCCTCCTCCTCGTCCTCCTCCTCGTCCTCTTCCTCCTCTTCTCCATCCTCCAGATCAAGCTCTATTCCTCTGTCGTCTGGGTTCACAGCTTGTCTGCTCTCATCAGATTTGTCTTTGGCTGCTTTCCCTCCGCTGCGTAGTCGCTGTGCTTCAGACTGGGCCGAGGCTGTGGCCTGCTCTTTCGCCTTCCGGCTGCGTTTCCACTTCATTCTCCGATTTTGGAACCAGATTTTGACCTGCCGAGATGTGACAGAGCAAAGAAATTGTGTTCAAAAGATGGCCACGTTTAGGAAATATAGTTATAGTTATCGATTTAAATATTTTTTTTGTTATTACATCAAACATTTGCAGCTCTAGAATAGAAGTAATTTTAAAAACTGCCAGTATGTTTTGATATATTTTAAATATTTTCTCATTATGTTTGCCAGTCCTGGAAGAAAGATCCCTCCTTGGTGGCTCTCTATGCATCCTTCTTTTTTCCAGTTTTGCCAAAGCTGTTGTGATTGTAATATTTTATGACTTGACGTGCCTTTAATAATGCTGCATAAAATCTGTACATCACACTAAAGAGCAAACAACTAATTTTCTTGAATCAAGTACAGAACCTAAAAAAAAAACTAACAAATTATTTGTAATTCATAAAACTTCTTTCTTCTTCGTCTTTGTTGTCCCTACTTCTTCTATTTGGGACATCCAACAATAAAAGCATCCTGCCTTTAAACAATTAATATATGAATGAGAAAACAAGAATTTTCTGGTTTGTGGTGTGGATTTGAAAGAACTTTAAATAAATATTTTTTTATGATGAAATATTCATCAACATTACCAGAGTTACGAAGAAATATACAATAAAAATAGAAACGCAAAACATAATGTTCTTACTTAAAACCTTACATACAGACTCTTGAAACAGATGATCAAATATCACCACGATAATTAAGTAATGAGTTTGCTGTACAATACAGGACTTATTTGCTTTACTTATTAGTTTCCCAGAATTAAAATATTAAAATTTAACTTTTAATGCGATGGCTCCGATGCTTCTAATGGACTTTTTTTTTAAACTTATTTTTCATGGTTTGTATTTTTGTTGTGTTTTAGGAAAAAATATTTTATATGATTGTATTAAAAATGTTATTCAGAATGTTATAATCATATTTCTTTTTAACTCTAATTGTGTGGAATATTTTGGGTTATTTGTCTTATTTTTGTCTCTTTTTGTTTGTCTGTTAATCATATTTGTTGCTGCATATCTCGGCCAGGCCAGGATAGAGATTTCAGTTAAATAAAAAATAATTAAATAAAACCACATGAATAGAAAGTCTTATACCCCAGGAGATACTGAATAAATGTGCTCGCTCTTATAGTTACTGAAATATAAGTCTGTTAAAATTCAGTTATGCTGTTGGATGAATGTGCTGTTGGCCTGCCGTTTGTATTCACTTTGAGTCTGGAGCAGGACTTACTGGATCTTATGTTCAGTCTACTTTGTCTTTTTGGAGTATTCATTGCAATGGGTTCTCCCCTCATTCTTGTTTCTGTGAATGATCTTTTTTGTTTGTTGTTTCCCTTAAAATGAACCTTTTGGTTTGTGAAGTGCTGGTCTCTCTTACCTGTGTTTCAGTCAGCATGAGTGAGGTGGCCACTTCGAAGCGTTTGGGTCTGGACAGGTACTTGTTGAGCTTAAACTGGTTCTCCAGCTCCAGCAGCTGCTGACTGGTGAAGGCGGTGCGGGGCCTCCGGCACTTCCCCAACAGACCAGACTGAGGGCCCGCTGGAGGAGGAAGAGCAACATTTTCAGTTATTTTATGAGAACTTTTGTCTGATTTAATTTCAGCCTATAGAGCCTCATTGATTTACTTTTTAGTTGAAGATTTTTATTTTGATAATTCAACTAAAACTTCAAAATATATGGCCTTTTATAGAAGATTCAAGTCTTAAATGTGTCTGAAGTGTTTGGCCAATAACTGCCACTGTCTTATTTATATAATGCCAAGGACATGGGAAGTTCAATGGAATTTTGTGGGTGGGAACAGGCACACATATGCCCGCACTCTCTGGCCATCATTAACTATAATAGCTTTACTCCAGTTTATTGTTGACGGGGGGACATGGCAGAAGCAGGCGCAGAGGCCATAAAAACACAGGCATGCCATTAACTTAATGAAAATTCAATGAAGGCTTTTGGGATTTTATTGATGAACTACAGAACGTTTTAGGTGTTTGTTTATAGTTTCTTCATCACACAAAGACAATTTTCATCGGGTTGGCGTTTATAGAGGAATAAATGGGCCAAAATTAAAATATGACACACAGATGCGCAGTAAAACGACGCCAGTGTACTGAACTGGACAACGTGTGGCTGTTATTAATGCAAAAAATATATATATACGTAAATCTCCGGTGTCTTGGATACAATATTATACAAAGCACGTTACTTGCAAAAATAGGTGTAAATTATAATTATACTGGCTGTGTAATTAATTTAGGACAGGGTGCTTTTTTCAGTTTGAATAAAGAAAACTGTGTCTAATCTCGGACATCATCGAAATATTAAGTGTTTTATTTAAAAAAATCTGAAGCATAGAAGGATACATTCTCCGTGATATAATATAATTTAAATACTAAATCAGCTATAAATATAATGATAAATTGGGCCTATTATCGTCCATAATAATAATAATAATAATAATAATAATCATCATCATCATCATCATCATCACCATCATCATCATCAGCATCACCATCATCATCTAAACAGAACAAGTCGAGCTGTAAAATGAAACTTAACTTCATGTCTTTCATGTCATTATCAGTGAATGTGTTAAATGAGTTTACGACCCTTTAGCGGTTCTTTAGAAGTCTACCCGCCCTTAATCCTCTCCCTTCCTGTAAACTGATAACGGAAAACAATTCACAATTGACTGAATTCTGTCTGTCCTTGAATTATTTGAAAACAATATAATTGCACCTGTCAGTTCTTGTACATTTGGCCTTGAAAGTTTTGGTTTAAACGTTTGAATATTTTGGATTTATTATAACAGAATCTTATCCGATCATACTCACAGCTGTAATCTGGCAGCCGAGGCAGCATGATCCCTGCGCGGATCCAGTGCTCCAGAGATCCCGCCATGGCAGCCGCCTTCAGGTGCTCTGGGTAAGTCTGTGTGAGCTGTGTGAAGCCGGTGTACGCGAAGGCGGGGTGCTGGCCACCCAACGCCGATAATGGGTACATGGGTGCAGGATACATGCCGGGAATCGAAGCGAGTCCTGGATGCGGGAGATTTAGGATACCCGGTTTGGGGATTATTCCGGTCTGAAGGTGTGCGGCCCGCGGAGACGGGGTGTCCCCTCGGCGGCAGGAGACCGGGCTGCCTGCGGGGCTGTCGCTGTTCAGACCCGGGGAGAGGTCTCGGCTCCCCCGGTTGGTCTCATCAGCAAGCAGGGCGTCAATTCTGAAGTTTCTCGATTTCTCCATGGCGGCTTCACTCAGGTGGACTGCAGAGTCTTTTACACAAAAACAAACGCGTCGAGCTTGGCGGGTGCGCACCTGTGCCGTGCGTCAGCGCGCAGACAGCGGAGCCTCTTCCAGTCACAAACTCATATGTTCTCCTTATCTTTTTCAGAACAGGCTGAACGGATGAGCACAAAGTTGTATGCTATTAAAAAAAAGCGCATTAATACATTATCAGCTTGTGTCACACGACTCGGCTTATTTCCCTAGAAATACTTTTTTGACAGACTCTAAGTTACTGACGCTTGCATGTGCGTCCCTCCATCTATTTCCTTGAATTACACCACGTGTCACTCTGCAACACTGAGTCCGCTCTGGTGTTTAACACTAACTTCACAAACAACAGAGGTATGTGTCTCTACTCCATCAGCCGTCCTTCTCCACCCCTGCAGGCCGGACGGTGTGAGCTGGGATTGGCTGAAGGCTGAGCTGCTCTGACGGGCCTCTAATCAGCTAATTACTCGCTCGTTTCTCCCCCCAGAAAGCATTCAGAGTGAGGTAATGTCCAACCCTTGTCCCGCCTGCAAACACCTTCAACTGCATCAAAGAGCGGAGGTACATTAGAAGATTAGGCAATTGTATTTTCAGTATCTATCTTACTGCCAGCTCCTCACACTCACCACAGATTGCGGCTACCTTGCCATAAACAAAGAATTATATACACCGCTTTGATTGTCCGAACTAATTATCAGTGCTGCAAACATCCTCCACACCTCAGCACCAAATACTGGTTGTTTTTCAGCAGTTTTAAGATACCTCTGATTGGGTGATGTTGAAAAAAAAAAGTGTCCACTCCAGTATTTAAATCATTAATATTAATGGCTTGCTTCATTCTCATACTAAGGCCATACCAATGCCATTAAAGTTAACGATCAAGAACTGCACACAAACCGTATAAAAATGTAATGACTTGCAGAGGAGGCTATAAGTTAATTGGCTCTATGCTTAAGGTGAACTAATGCCAATTTAAGCCTGAAAAGCGGAAGTCTGTCTTACTCTTTTCAACGTGGCTGGAGGTCTGTCAGTTGAATTTGATGTAATTGTAATTTTACTGACAAAAATAAAACCTAAAAAATAATAATGGGCTGCAATGCAATAGTCTAAAAACCTCGTCTAATTATGCTGCAAACATCGTTTTAGGTAATGTTTTGTTTGTTGAAACCGAATTCCTTTTGTACTGAGAATTTGCATGTTAGGGCCAACACACTAACGCTCATTACATTTAGGGTTA